GCAACTGGGAGGGAACTGGGGGCGACTGGAAGGGAACTGGGGGCATGTGGGAGGCAACTGGGAGGGACTTGGGGGTAACTGGGGGGTGACTGGGAGGGACTGAGGGCATCTGGGAGGGGACTGGGGTGACTGGGGGGCAACTGGGAGGGGACTGGGAAGGACTGGGGGGGCAACTGGGACCCACTGGGTTTTACTGGGACCCCCAGACCTACGCAGAGATGGACCCGACCACGGCAGCGCTGGAGAAGGAGCACGAAGCGGTGAGTCTGACCCCAAAACCGCCTCGTTTCTCCCCAAATCTCCTCTCCCCCCTCCCTCCACAACCCCCCCCCACCCCCAGGGGGATCCCGGGATGTGAGGAGGAGCCCCAAAAACGCCGTTTTTCGCCCCGTTTTTCAGATCACCAAAGTGAAATACGTGGATAAAATCCACATCGGGCACTTTGAGATCGACGCCTGGTATTTCTCCCCCTTCCCTGAGGATTATGGGAAGCAGCCCAAGCTGTGGATCTGCGAGTATTGCCTCAAGTACATGAAGTACGAGCGCACCTACCGCCTCCACCTGGTGGGTGACGCGTGTGACACGCCACGACACGCGTGTGACACGCTTGGGGGGCACGTGGGACATGTGGGGATGTGGATACGTGGGACCCACGATTGGGCCTGCAGGTGTTGCCCCAAAAACTGAACCCCAACTGCATCTGTGTGGTGGGTGACACGCTTAGGAACACGTGTGACACGCTTGAGAACATGTTTGACATGCCATGACACGCGTGTGGCACGCTTAGGGGGCACGTGGGACACGTGGGGGTGTGGATACGAGGGACCCACGATTGGGTCTGCGGGTGTTGCCCCGAAAACTGAACCCCAACTGCATCTGTGTGGTGGGTGACACGCTTAGGAACACGTGTGACACGCTTAGGGACATGTGTGACATGCCACGACACGTGTGTGACACGCTTGGGGGGCACGTGGGACACGTGGGGGTGTGGATACGTGGGACCCACGTTTGGTTCTGCAGGTGTTGCTCTGAAAATTGGAGCCCAACTGCATCCGTGCGGTGGGTGACACGCGTGTGACATGCTTGGGGACACGTGTGACACACTTGGAGACGTGTGACACACTTAGGAACATCTGTGACACGCTTAGGGGACGCACAAAACGTGGGGACGTAGACATGTGGGACCCACGTTTGGTTCTCTGTGTGTTGCCTCAAAAATTGGAGCCGAACTGCATCTGTGTGGTGGGTGACACGCTTAGGAACACACGTGACGTGCTTAGGGACATGTGTGACATGCCATGACACGCGTGTGACACGCTTAGGGGGCGCGTGGGACACGTGGGGGTGTAGATACGTGGGACCCACGATTGGGTCTGCGGGTGTTGCCTGGAAAACTGAACACCAGTTGCATCTGTGTGGTCGGTGACACACGTGACGCGCTTGGGGACATGTGTGACACACTTAGAGATCTGTGACACGCTCAGGGGACACACAAGACATGTGAGGACATGGACATGTTGGACCCACATTTGGTTCTCTGTGTGTTGCTCTGAAAATTGGAGCCCAGCCACAACCGTGTGGTGGGTGACACATGTGTGACATGCTTGGGGACACGTGTGACACACTTAGGTACATGTATGACACACTTAGGGGGCACATGGGACGCGTGGGGACGTGGACATGTGGGACCCACGTTTGGTTCTGCGGGCGTTGCTCTGAAAATCGGAGCCCAACCGCATCCGTGCGGTGGGTGACACGCGTGTGACACGCTTGGGGACACGTGTGACACGCGTGTGACATGTGTGTGGTTGTCCCCAGGGTCAGTGCCAATGGAGACAGCCGCCAGGACGCGAGATCTACCGCAAGAGCAACATCTCTGTGTATGAGGTGGACGGCAAAGATCACAAGGTGGGGACACGGGGGGGACACGGGGGGTGACGTGTGGGGACGTGGAGGTCATACAGGTGACATGGAAGTGACACGGAGGTGACACGGGACGTCAGGTCCTCCACCACAACCTCCTCTCATTGGCCAACGTCAATCAGAGGGGTCATAGAGATGGGGATGTGGTTTTTCCATGGATGGACGCCTGGGTGACATGGAGGTGACACAGAGGTGACAAATGGTGACACGGAGGTGGTACGGGTGACACAGTGGTGACACGGAGGTGACACGGAGGTGACACAGAGGTGACATGGTCCATCAGGTCCTCCACCCCAACCTCCTCTCATTGGCCAACGTCAACCAGAGGAGCCATAGAGATGGGGACGTGGTGTTGCCATATGTGGATGTGTGGTGATATGGAGGTGACACAGAGGTGACATATGGTGACATAGAGATAACAGAGGTGACAAGTGGTGACACGGAAGTGACACGGGCCATCAGGTCCTCCACTACAACCTCCTCTCAACAGCCAACCTCTACCAGAAGGGTCATAGAGATGGGAACACGGTGTTGCCATATGTGGACGTGTGGTGACATGGAGGTGACACAGAGGTGACACACGGTGACATAGATGTGATACAGGTGACACAGAGGTGACATGGGACGTCAGGTCCTCCACCCCAACCTCCTCTCATTGGCCAACATCAACCAGAGGAGCCATAGAGATGGGGACGTGGTGTTGCCATGCATGGACACGTGGTGACATGGAGGTGACACAGAGGTGACAGATGGTGACACGGAGGTGGTATGGGTGACATGAAGGTGTCACAGAGGTGACACGGAGGTGACACAGTCCATCAGGTCCTCCACCCCAACCTCCTCTCATTGGCCAACGTCAACCAGAGGAGCCATAGAGATGGGGACGTGGTGTTGCCATATGTGGACATGTGGTGATATGGAGGTGACACAGAGGTGACAAATGGTGACATGGAGGTGGTACAGGTGACATGGAGGTGACACGGGCCATCAGGTTCTCTACCACAATCTCCTCTATTGGCCAGAATCAACCAGAAGGGTCATAGAGATGGGAACACGGTGTTGCCATACGTGGACACGTGGTGACATGGAGGTGACACAGAGGTGACACACGGTGACATGGAGGTGACATGGAGGTGACATGGGCCATCAGGTCCTCCACCACAACCTCCTCTATTGGCCAGAATCAACTGCAAGGGTCATAGAGATGGGAACACGGTGTTGCCATACGTGGACACGTGGTGACATGGAGGTGACACAGAGGTGACATATGGTGACATAGATGTGACACGGAGGTGACACGGAGGTGACATGGGCCATCAGGTCCTCCACCCCAACCTCCCCTCATTGGCCAACGTCAACCGGAAGGGTCATAGAGATCGGAGCACAGTGTTGCCATACATGGACACATGGTGACATGGAGGTGACACAGAGGTGACACATGGTGACATGGAGATAACACAGAGGTGACAAGTGGTGACACGGAGGTGACACGGGCCATCAGGTCTTCCACTACAACCTCCTCTCATTGGCCAACGTCAACCAGAGGAGCCATAGAGATGGGGACGTGGTGTTGCCATACGTGGATGTGTGGTGACATGGAGGTGACACAGAGGTGACAAATGGTGACATGGAGGTGGTACAGGTGACATGGAGGTGACATGGGCCATCAGGTTCTCTACCACAACCTCCTCTATTGGCCAGAATCAACTGGAAGGGTCATAGAGATGGGAACGCGGTGTTGCCATACGTGGACACGTGGTGACATGGAGGTGACACAGAGGTGACAAATGGTGACATAGATGTGATACAGGTGACACGGAAGTGACACGGAGGTGACATGGGCCATCAGGTCCTCCACCACAACCTCCTCTCATTGGCCAACGTCAACCAGAGGAGCCATAGAGATGGGGACGTGGTGTTGCCATACGTGGATGTGTGGTGACATGGAGGTGACACAGAGGTGACAAATGGTGACATGGAGGTGGTACAGGTGACACGGAAGTGACACGGAGGTGACATGGGCCATCAGGTCCTCCACCCCAACCTCCTCTCATTGGCCAACGTCAACCAGAGGAGCCATAGAGATGGGGACGTGGTGTTGCCATATGTGGACGTGTGGTGATATGGAGGTGACACAGAGGTGACAAATGGTGACACGGAGGTGGTACGGGTGACACGGTGGTGACACAGAGGTGACACGGAGGTGACACGGGCCATCAGGTCCTCCACTACAACCTCCTCTCAACCTCTACCAGAAGGGTCATAGAGATGGGGACGCGGTGTTGCCATGCATAGACACGTGGTGACATGGAGGTGACACAGAGGTGACAAATGGTGACATGGAGGTGGTACAGGTGACACGGAAGTGACACGGAGGTGACATGGGCCATCAGGTCCTCCACCCCAACCTCCTCTCATTGGCCAACGTCAACCAGAGGAGCCGTAGAGATGGGAACACGGTGTTGCCATACGCAGACCCGTGGTGACACAACAGCGGGGTGACACCGCAGCGGGGTGACGTGGTGGTGGTGACTCCATGTGACACCCGTCCGTCCCCCCACCACCCCAACAGATCTACTGCCAGAACCTGTGCCTGCTGGCCAAGCTCTTCCTGGACCACAAGACGCTGTACTTCGACGTGGAGCCCTTCGTCTTCTACCTGCTGACCGAGGTGGACCGCCAGGGGGCGCACATCGTGGGCTACTTCTCCAAGGTGAGCCCTGGGGGGGCGGCGGTGTCACCCCCGGGTTGTGTTGTTGTCACCCCGTTGTGTTGTTGTGGTGCTGTCAGCGTGTTGCGTTGCGGTGCTGTCGCTGTTGTGTTGCTGTCACTGTGTTGTGTTGCTGTCACTGTTGTGTTGTTGTGGTGCTGTCACTGTTGTGTTGTTGTGTTGCTGTCACTGTGTTGTGTTGTTGTCACTGTTGTGTTGTGTTGCTGTGTTGCTGTCACCCTGTTGTGTTGTGTTGCTGCCATCCTGTTGTGTTGTTGTGTTGCTGTCACTGTGTTGTGTTGCTGTCACTGTTGTGTTGCAGTCAGTGTGTTGTGTTGTTATGTTGCTGTCACTGTTGTGTTGCTGTCACTGTGTTGTGTTGTTGTGTTGCTGTCACTTGTGTTGTGTTGCTGTGTTGCTGTCACCCTGTTGTGTTGTGTTGTTGTCACCCCGTTGTGTTGTTGTGCTGCTGTCACTGTGTTGTGGTGCTGTCACTGTTGTGTTGTTGTGGTGCTGTCACTGTTGTGTTGTGGTGCTGTCACTGTTGTGTTGTTGTGGTGCTGTCACTGTTGTGTTGTGTTGCTGTGTTGCTGTCACTGTTGTGTTGCAGTCACCCTGTTGTGTTGTTGTGTTGTTGTGTTGCTGTCACCGTGTTGTGTTGTGTTGCTGTCACTGTTGTGTTGCAGTCAGTGTGTTGTGTTGTTATGTTGCTGTCACTGTGTTGTGTTGCTGTCACTGTTGTGTTGCTGTCACCGTGTTGTGTTATGTTGCTGTCGCTGTGTTGTGTTGTTGTGTTGCTGTCACCGTGTTGTGTTGCTGTGTTGCTGTCACTGTTGTGTTGCAGTCACCCTGTTGTGTTGTTGTGTTGCTTTCACCGTGTTGTGTTGTGTTGCTGTCACCCTGTTGTTTTGTGTTGCTGTCACCGTGTTGTGTTGTTGTGTTGCTGTCACTGTTGTGTTGCAGTCAGCGTGTTGTGTTGTTATGTTGCTGTCACTGTGTTGCGTTGTGTTGCTGTCACCGTGTTGTGTTGTTGTGTTGCTGTCACTGTGTTGTGTTGCTGTGTTGCTGTCGCCATGTTGCGTTGCTGTCAGCATGTTGTGTTGCTGTCACCGTGTTGTGTTGTGTTGCTGTCGCTGTGTTGTGTTGTTGTGTTGCTGTCAGCATGTTGTGTCGCTGTGTTGCCGTGTTGCTGACATTGTGTTGTGTTGTTGTCACTGTTGTGTTGCTGTCGGCGTGTTGTGTTGTGTTGCTGTCACTGTGTTGTGTTGTTGTGTTGCTGTGTTGCTGTCACTGTGTTGTGTTGTTGTGTTGCTGTCACCGTGTTGTGTTGTTGTGTTGCAGTCACCCTGTTGTGTTGTTGTGTTGCTGTCACCATGTTGTGTTGCTGTGTTGCTGTCACCGTGTTGTGTTGCTGTCACCCTGTTGTGTTGTTGTGTTGTTGTCACCCTGTTGTGTTGCTGTGTTGCTGTCAGCGTGTTGTGTTGCTGTCACCATGTTGTGTTGTGTTGCTGTCGCTGTGTTGTGTTGTTGTGTTGCTGTCAGCGTGTTGTGTCGCTGTGTTGCCATGTTGCTGACATTGTGTTGTGTTGCTGTCACTGTTGTGTTGCTGTCGGCGTGTTGTGTTGTGTTGCTGTCACTGTTGTGTTGCTGTCACCGTGTTGTGTTGCTGTGTTGCTGTCGTTGTGTTGCAGTCACCCAGTTGTGTTGTTGTGTTGTTGTGTTGTTGTGTTGCTGTCACCGTGTTGTGTT